AATTAAAACACAAAAATGGAGCTATGTGCAACAGTTCCTCAACCTAGGTGAATTTCTCTTCAAAGACAATCAATAGTTATCTAGGAATTGACCAGCTTTCCACCATTAAGAATAAACAGTTCAAATTAATATGGCTCTTACAAAAGAATTCAAATTATCATGTTGGCAATAATGACTTCTTCTTTGTACTTTGGCTAGTTTAGGTTTTAGGCTAAATATTTGTTTTAGTCCCTATTATTTAAAAATTTTAAATTTAGTCCATTATGTTTCAACAGTTTTTAAACATACCATTTCTGTAGGTAAATGTTAAAATGAACTGATAACGTAGTTATATGGCATGGGGCATAAATTTAGATGAGTAATTAGCCCATCTAAGGTTTGGAAAAGTCAAAATTTCTTCTAACCTCTTAAAATTTTTGAGGAGGAATAAGAAACTTTCATCTCTTGAGTGGTCTAATTCCTCCACTAAATTTAGGCCAATTCACTAAATATTATGCCATGTAAGATTATCATCGATCAATTTTAACATTACCAATAAAAATGGTACAATTTAAAATTTTTAAAACGTAAGGTATTAAATTGTAATTTTTTAAACAATAGAGACTAAATTAAAAAAACACTCGAACATTAAGGATTGAATTGAAAAAACACTCATTAGGGACTAAAACATATATTTTGCCTAGTTTTTAGGCAACTTTAAATTATTTTCCATTGTTTGTCTTCTCAAAGTTATTATTCTCAATAATTCCGGAGGAATTTTTTAATAATCCAGTTATGATTTTTTGTCTCTATAGATGTGATAGAATGAAGTTTATGAACAAGATCAATTAAAGTTATATTACATATACTTGGCGATAATGATGGTGATGGCCTTCTCTGCTTGTTGTTATGGATTTTACACATCTAAAAAGGACAATTTATTTATAGTTTGGTTTATTTTGTGTAAACTTCTCGTACTTGCAGGAGTTACATCCATATTTGGAGCTGGATTGTTTTTATTGGTTCAAGTGATTATCTTACTTGATTTTACACACTCCTGGAATGATTCCTGGGTTGAGAAGGATGATCAGAAATGGTCAGTTAAAGTTTTTACTTGCTCTCCAAAACGATACCATTTTTGCTCCAAATATTGTTTGTTGCTGACTAATAAATTGATATGGATAGGTATATTGCTCTTCTTGTGGTATCAATTGGATGCTACCTTGCAGCATTCACGATCTCAGGACTTCTGTTTATTTGGTTCAATCCTTCAGGCCATGACTGTGGCCTCAATGTCTTCTTCCTAAGCATGACTATGGTTCTTGCATTTGTATTTGCAGTAATTGCTTTGTTCCCAGCGGTGAGAATAAATTTATGTTGTTATTGTTTATAGTGTGTGCTTTACATAACTTTGTCATTTTATCTCTTATCTTATATCCATTCTTGTCCTATTCTGCATTCTGAGCATTCTAGCTATGTCGTTGAATTGGAGTTCTGTAACCCCTCTTCCTGTGGAAACTCAAGAAGTTTATGCACCATTTATGATTAGGCTGAGATAGTTGAAACAAAAGATGGCAATTGCCAGAGGTGGGGAAATGCTTGAAAAAAGCCCATTTCCCATAGTATAAATGGTTGGCATGAAATAGCAAGTTAAGTTGTATCCACTCGAGGAACTCTTTTTATGCTCTATTCTTTGTTGCAGAAACAAGAAGAATATTAAACAAAAAGTTATGCTCTGGGAAATGCTAGATTCTCTGTTATTTTAATCGAGATTGCATTGCCCATGTATTCTTTCTCCATGCCTGCCTTCATGAGATGAGACTGAATTTTTTTTTTTCTTCTTTTTTTTTTTTTAAAGAAAGAAAGAAAAAGAGAGAGAGCTATCTTTAAACCTGATTATCGTGACTGGTTATTTTAAACAGGTAAATGGGAGCCTGTTACCTGCTTCTGTGATATCAGTTTACTGTGCATATTTGTGCTATACTGGTCTCTCTAGTGAACCTCGTGACTACGTGTGCAATGGTCTTCATACAAAATCTAAAGCTGTCTCCGTTAGTACCCTTGTCCTTGGGATGCTCACTACCGTTCTCTCTGTTATTTATTCTGCTGTTCGTGCTGGATCTTCAACAACGTTTCTCTCGCCGCCATCTTCACCAAGAGCAGGTACCTAAACTTGCATAATATCTCCATTTCTAACTAGTTTAATTACAAATTGTGCAATGTAAGGAAGGAACTTGCATGTATTATTTCAAGGATATTTTAGTAAGAAAAAATACTTGCCTACACACCGGTTAGTAGGAGATCTTCTTGACTTTTTGATGGGGCTATTTTTATTAAATTATTTATATTGTGTGGATCTCACTAAATTTTTTGAGTGAATAAAAATATGCCCCATAGAAAGATAGTAAGAACCCTTATTAACTGGTGTGTAGGCAAGTATTTTTCTTTTGTAACATCAAATATTTGAGCAAATTATTTACTTTTCCAGCCTCGCTTCTCTGTGGATTAAAGGAAAATAATATAAAAATCTGCAACTATGGGGAAAAATTGTTTCAGTGCTACATTATTGGCTTTTATTTTCTCATTGTTTGGCCAGGTGGGAGTAAACCTCTTCTCGAAGCTGAAGACTTGGAGGACGGAAAGAACAAAAAGAATGAGGCAGAGGGAGAGGGGCAACCTGTCAGTTACTCCTATACATTCTTCCACCTCATATTTGCTCTTGCAAGCATGTACTCAGCCATGCTACTTTCAGGCTGGACTAGCCTGAATGGTAGCACGGACCTCATAGACGTTGGCTGGACATCGGTTTGGGTACGTATCTGCACGGAGTGGGTCACTGCTGCTCTATATATTTGGTCACTCATCGCCCCTCTGCTTCTCACAGATCGCGAGTTCTTTTAGGTCTGTCATTTCATTCCGAGCGTATATTTATCATTCTAGTACATAATTATATAACTTAAATCACTAGGAACAGGGAAAGAAAAAAAACATCGGTAAGTCGTCTACCAGGTCTCTTAGGAAAAAAAAAGTATATAAAATGGGTGTTGTATTGTAGACTGAAGAAATATCCTGGAGTTGAATGACATTGGCCTGCCTACATAGATTGTATTTAGTTTTTGTTTGTAATTTAATTTCTGTTGTGAACTTTTGGGCATCTTTTAATTGCTTCACATTTTGCTTGCTTTTTTGTGTCATTTTTTCAGCACATATTCTGCTTTTTTCAATAGTTTTTGGCATCAATAAAAACAAGAGTCTTGCTTTGCAGGTTCCATATCAAATCAATTATTATTTTATAATATCTAATTGGATAAGCTTTCTTTGCAATTTGCTGAATTAGAAAACTTGGTATTCTGTAGGTATCTTCAATTTATTCCTTAATTGATCGATTTGCATATTTATTGTTCGTAAATTATGTTATAATAGTTAGTCATATGAATCTGATTTTTTTTTTTGGTTGAGCTTATCTGTCATAAATTATTTAACTTATCGTGTTGATATCTTATCTTTTTTGTTTAATTTGAAGAATTTGTAACTTTTTTTTAACAATTGAGTTGGATTAGTTTTACATTATCTTTCTTGTACGCAGAAGTTCTTTTATTCGTTGGGACAAGATGGTGGAATTTTACGTAATGTTTACAAAATAAAATGTACTAAAAACTAATAAAAATAATGTAAAGAACGTCGGAAAAAAAAACTTTTGAACCTTCATAAGAAATTATATTAGTTCATCTTCACAATTAGAACCTGAAAAGAATTTGAAAATTATTTTAAATGGTCTCTGAATTATTTGATTATGAATGTGTAACATGACAAATTAAAAATAGAACTCAAATCATGTTAATTTGGCTCAACTTGCTAAAGACAAATATCAGACTAAAAGATGAGATTTTCGGAAAAAAAGAAAAATGTTAATTTTACTATAATTTTTTAAAAGCTCCCTATGTTAAATTGAGACTCAATTGTTTCTCAAGGAATGAAAATAAAATATCATACCAACCTAACTCAATTGTAAGATCAGGGTATTAAATATCGGTCAATAATCTTCAAGGGACAGTACGTTGGAAAGAGCTTGAGATCCATATTGACTTAGAGGTCTTAAGTTCGGACATTTTAGTGAACTTAATACAAAAAATCTTTGATATTTCTCGAGCCTGAATCTTGAGACAAGTGTGGGTGCCTCCGACTTTTAATTATAAAAAAAAAGAATAATAAAAAATCAATAAATATCTAGTGACATTTCTATCAATATTTTTTATTTTAAATATCTATCGACATCAACTATTCATCAATATTTTCATTAATATTTTTATGAAATTGAGACATCGACATTTTGAATATTGAAAACTCGGTTAAAAGTTGAAGCTCTCAATCTCCTCTTGGGACTCAAAATAAGTAAATAATTATATCTAATCAAAGTGTAGCTGGTAATTGAATTGACACATATCTCTCGTATTATATATTGTAATAAAAAATATATATAATGATAATTATTTATATATACAGTCAGCATTTTGGAATTGTTAATTAATTTGATATCACGTGAACGTTCGTAAACTCAACCGTCGGTAACTTAATTCCACTTTATTTCATCAACATGACCGGAAAGAAAAATAAAAATAAAAATTTAAAAAAATTGGGAAAACGAAAACGAAAAGGAAAGTAGAAGAAGAACAAGCATAGATATAAATAATATATTGTCCGCCAGCATTCTGAGCCACTCTCCTCCGTGGCGCGTGTCCGTTCCTCCTCCGGTCCGTCACCACCACCTCGCTAACCTGCGCCGCCCGCCTCCTTCTTCTTCCTCCGGTAGATCCCCAATTTTTGCCCTAACTGTAACGCCATTTTTCCAAATTGCCTCTGCTCTCCATATCATGCGCAATCTTCTGGTTCCGACCACCGCCGCCGCCATGCCTCCGACCTCAATTCTCGCCTCATCCTCCTCGATTTCCAAATCCAAGACTTCTGCAAACCCTAGCCCTAGCAATTCCCTTCTCTGTAAACACTCCCCTTCCGCCACCCTTGACCTTCTCATTCTCATACTCGTTCTCTTCTCCGGTACCTTTCTTGTAACCTCCTACTTCTCCTACATTTTCAACTCTCTCTCTCTTCTCTTCTCTCATTCCGCCCCCCAGCTTCCTCAATTTCCCTTTCCCTTTATTGTTGGGTTCTTGTTGTTTTTCTGTGTGACTATTGGTGTGTTTGAGATTTGTTGCGGCGCTAGATCGAGGAAATGCGCGAAGCCTGGATGTAAAGGGTTGAAAAAGGCTATGGAGTTTGATCTGCAATTGCAAACGGAGGAGTGCGTCAAGAGTGGGTCTAAGGAGATTGATAAATTGCCGTGGAAGGGAGGGAGTGAGGCCAACCCGGATTATGAGTGCTTGAGGTCGGAGCTCAGGAAGATGGCGCCGCCCAATGGCCGAGCTGTTTTGCTTTTCCGGGCGCGCTGCGGCTGCCCCATCGCCAAGCTTGAAGGCTGGGGGACTAAGCGCGGACGGCGGCATAAGAAGTGAGTTCAATCTTTTTATTCGATATGTGTCATTGATTCGTTTTTGGGATCCGTTTTTGCTCTGATCATTTTGAGGCTTGAACTCTTTGGCTCTCTGTCTCTGATTCTGGAACTGGGTACTGCAGAAATTATTGCGATCTCTACCTCCTCAATAAAAACTTGTTTAAGACTTACAGAAAGGATAAAAAGAATGGGTTGTATCTGAATTTAGATAACACTCGTTTAAGACCTTTGTAGCTTCCATGAAACTTCTGACGGACCTTAGAATCTGCTAATGTGTAGGAGTGAGGATTCGAACCTCTAACCTTTTCGTGGGAGTGAGGATTTGAACCTCTAACCTTTTCATGGGGTGATGGGAAGACTGTCTAATATTGTGGTTATTAAATGGTCTTATGAACAATTTTATGGGTTGGGATTATGGATGAGGAAGACTATATCTTAGAGGGATTGATAAATCAAAATATATTGTACATGTCCCTTTTTATATGATGATGAAATTTGCTGTGTGTGTTAGATTAGACGCGGGACTACTTGTAGAATTTATGTCCACTTTGTAGCTTCTTCTTCCTTGTGCAATTGTTCGTTTATGATCAAAATTTGTTTGGATAGGTTTTATATCTATTAAGATTAAGAGTTTTCATCAAAAGAAACTAATCATGGAGCTCCAGCATGTGAGCTTCCTTTTTCCTTCTCATTTTTCCACTTCCTGCTTTATCCTCATTTATTTTTATGGAGGTAGCACCCCGTTTCATGTTTTGATCTAAAACTGAAGATGTTTTCTTTTTTTTTTAACCCATTTCAAATGATGTAAGTTCTCCTTGCTCTTGGGTCCACCCTTCAAGTTAGTTAATTTATTTTTCAGTGGGAAGCTATGCAAGCAAGTTTCAGGGGCTCGATTAGCATATCACAAGTAATTTGTTTCTGGTGAGCAATTATGGGCTAGGTTGAAGTACTGATGTTCTGTTCTCCTAGCTACTAAGTAACTAAATTTTATGTATACATTGTGTTCTTCAACTCCAATTGATGCTTACTTTACTTAATATTGCTAACTTTATCCGAATTTTTTATTTACTGTCATGTATGAGATTATCTAATTGTTTTAATTGAACCCTTGCATTGCTATATGGTGTTTTATATCTTCATCTCTTACATAAGTTTGATTTCTTATTTTCATGAGAAACTGAAACATGATCATAAACAAAAGAAAAAACAAGAGAACGTCCTAGAAATGACTACTCATGAAAAATCATGGAGTCTATAATTATAAAAAATTGTTGTGATAACATCACCATGAAGAGGTGAGCTGTTAAAAAAATATAATGGTGGAGCCCTCTTTTCTCCAAAAACCCATTGGTTCTCTCCTTTCAATTCAGCCAAAGAATAGCTCCAGCTGCACAGTTCAACAAAACCTTAGCCTTGCCTTTAAATTTCCATCTCGCTAGGACTTCCAAAAGCCAGTCACATTATTAGGAAGTAGGAACTTGTTTTGGGTTATTATTTGACCTGCACTATGATGCTATAGCTATATTTTGTTTCTGCAAAAACCATACAAATGATGAATTTATTTTGTGTCTATGTTACAAAATATTAGACCCCTTGCACAAAACAAATAAACCCTATTCATTGGTCACCATGCACTTGTTGAACATGAGTTATCTCTCGGGACCCATTAGAGATTTTTCAATTGGAAAAATATAGTATTAATTCTTGGTTGACTTTTTTATATGAAAATGCATAATAAAGTCCTGTCATGTATTGCCTCAGAAACTTTGATGACTGTCATAGTATATATATGCATGTAGCCTTTCTATCCTGGCAACCTAATTAGTGGTAATCTGATTATAGAGCTGTGTGTTGGATACTTTGCAAGTGATATGGCCTCCATCCTATTTTAGTTTTGTCCGAATAGGACTGAACTATCAATGGATCCTGGTTCCTGGCACGCTACTGTCAATTACTGTGAACAAACATATCCATTGGGCATCGATTATAGCATCAGTCTCCTCTCATCGCAGCTTTTGTACTGAGCTCACATTGAGCTATATTAAATCTGAACCCTTAGAAATTTCTTGTCTAAGTCAAAGCACTCAAAATTTCAAACATGTTCTTGGTTTCATAAAGCAAATACTAGAGATTTCTTTTGTTCTTTTTTAAGTCAAGCACTCAACATTTCTGACATATTTGTTGGTTAATTGTCAAGACCGTGTATTATATATTTATAGGGATGAATTCAATATACTTGAAACCTAAATGGATGTATAAACTGCACAAAAGGAGACAACCTAAGGGCAATGGGTAGAGACAACCCCTCCCACAAAAAACGAGCTACAAGGCATTCCAATTATTAATAAATAATAATCATAGAGGGACCATGATTACAAAAGGCTCTGTATTTAGTACACCACCAAGAAGCCAAGTAACGAATACTATCCACCAAAGAATACTCTGAACTGTAGTTGTCCTAAAAAACTCTCCAGTTTTGCTCCTTCCACGTTGACCATAACACAGCCTTCACTGCACAACACTATAAAGCTTTGGCTTTACCCTTAGCCTCATACCCCGCAAAGCTTCCAGCATCCAGTCATCTACCCTCTTAGGGAGACAAGTAGAAAAACCAAGCTCCTTAAAGATGAAGGACCAAGCCTTGAAAGTAAACGGGCAATGGAGAAGAAATGATCGAATATTTTAGTCCTTGAAAGTAGTAGTATTGTCAAACTGTGTGGTGTGTCTTAACAACCAGCCCTTAGAAAGGTTTTGGATTCCGATTTCTGATGAATTGGGGAAGCTGTAATTTCATTAGCGTTGGAAAATAAGTTCTCACTGGTTTCATTTTCCAAATATACATCTTTCTTACCTTGTGATTTGGCTTATGAAATTCTTATGGTTAATTTTAGATCACAAATGGTAATCTTCAATTCTGCCATTTTATGCAGGGCTCTGGCTACGCTGGCTCTTAACGGGGGAGGCGACCATCGCTGATGGTCTTATGGCAACTTCATACTGAGAAGACCGACCTTCCATTTATATCTTACTTTCTCCTCCCATCATTTTACTTATTTTTAGATTCTCTTTCTGAAACATATGAATGACTAGAGCTTCCTTTTATAAGAATACTGTAACACAGTGAATAGATATTCATTGTCAGACTCAGAAACAGGCTTCCCCCATCCCTGCATTAGCCTGGAAATGGAAATATATACCAAACTTACTGCAAATAAAACAATAGACAATCATGTTTATGTCTCTTTCATCTTAAGGGTTTGTTCTTCTTTCTTGTATTTTATTCCATTGAATCTATTTTGTGCTAAATCCACTGGTTCTAGTAGCAGCTTCTTGAAATTATGGATGAGAGTACTGTTGAGTTCTTAAATTTATAATGCAAGTGAAAACTAGTTCAAGTTTTAAGGATTAGAATTGAGCATTGAATAAATTATATAATTTGAAGTCTTAAATTTTCTCAAAGATTAGATTTACAAGATGTCAAAATATGTAAACTATTTCAAGTTTAACATCTGCCGTTCAAGTTGAAACCAACAGAACCGAGCTGAACTGAAATCAATTGGTCGGTTTGACATAAATGCGGCCCGGTTTGCTTTTTTTTTCACTGGTCGACTGGTTTGGTTTGGGGTTCTTAAACCGAACTTATTCTGACCAACCGAACCATTATAGAAGAAAACCGAACCGTCCATCTAGTCATCTCTCCGCATGAGGCGAGGCTGGACACCGTGCGTCTCTTTGTGATATGGTAAAGCCATCTCGCATGACCTGGAAATGAAGAAACTTTTATTTGGTTTAGTACACGACTGCATTCGTGTGCCACTATGCAAATTCCCCAACTTAGCTGGCACCATCGTGTGATTGTGTTTGCTTTAGTTTGGCTGCTCGGATCACCAAACCGCCTGGCTCCCAACCACCAAACAGAACAGATCCAATAGAACCGCCGGCTCGGATCGGTTCTGAATTAAGTCGATTCGGTTTTGGTTCGGTCCTAAATCGAACCGAGCCATGAGCACGCCTGCTGGGCGTGGTATTGAACCCTTCAACCGTATATATATATTTCGCGGTGATCGGAATCCAAACAGTTGTTCGAGTGATAATCAGATGGTGGTTTCGTCTGATGCTCCTTTCCCAGATACCCAAATTGTTCCCTCGACATATTACGACTGCTCTTTCATTTTCTCCGCTTTATCTCAAATGGGTCTCCACCCTCTCCACAACCGCATCCACTCCAGGGCCTCTCCAGAATCTCCCCTCATGCTTCAATGGCAGACCTTCAGGAACCTGCTTGGATTACGAGCTCTCGCTGGTCTCAGCCCTGAAGTTCTGCGCGTCCAGTGCTGCTATTTTTCAAGGGCAACAAATCCACGTCATCGTCCTCAAAACTGGGTTTAATTCCAATACTTTCATCCGAAATAGTTTGATCAATATGTATGCTAAATGCGGACGTCTTTCCGACGGCAGGTTGCTGTGTGATTCATGTTCGAATCTGGATCCTGTATCTTGTAACATTATGATTTCTGGGTATATAAAATTTCGCCAATTGGACAACGCCCGCCAACTGTTCGACATAATGCCGGAAAGAGGCTGCGTATCTTATACCACCATGATTTTGGGTTTGGCTCAGAATGCTTGTTGGAGTGAAGCAATTGAGATTTTTAAGGATATGAGATCTTCGGGTGTGGCCCCTAATGAAGTGACAATGGCAAGTGTTATGTCAGCTTGTTCTCATATTGGTGGGATTTGGAATTGCAGGATGCTCCATGCTCTGGTAATGAAGTTAAATTTCACTGGTCTTGTTCTTATTTCGACAAATTTGTTGCATATGTATTGTGTTTGTTCAAGTTTAGAAGAAGCTAGGAGATTGTTCAGTGAAATGCCAGAGCGTAACACTGTTTCTTGGAATGTGATGTTAAAAGGATATGTAAAATCTGGCCTTGTGGATGAAGCAAGAGAGTTTTTCGAGAGAATTCCAGAAAGAGATTTAATTTCATGGGCTACAATTATTGATGGGTATGTGCAAGTGAAACAGTTGAGGGAAGCTTTTTTTATGTATTCTGAAATGAGAAAAAGTGATCTTGAGCCCAATGAAGTGATGATTGTTGATTTGCTTTCTGCTTGTGGGCAGTCAATGTCAGTTAATGAGGGCAGGCAATTCCATTCAGTGATTGTAAAAACTGGTTTTGACTGTTTTGATTTCATACAAGCAACTGTCATTAGTTTCTATGCAGCTTGTGGAAGGATTGATCTTGCTTATTTGCAGTACCAGGTGAGTGATAAGAATCATCTCACGTCTTCAAATGCCCTTATTGTGGGGTTCACAAAGAATGGACTGATCGAGCGGGCGAGGCAAATATTTGATGTGATGCCTGAAAAAGATGTCTTTTCATGGAGCACCATGATCTCGGGCTATGCGCAGAATGAGTTGCCTGATATGGCTTTAGAGCTCTTCCATGAAATGGTGGTCAGCGGGGTCGAGCCAAACGAGATCACCATGGTAAGCGTTTTCTCTACAATCGCAGCTTTAGGCAAACTGGCAGAGGGAAGATGGGCGCATGAATATATTTGCAGCAAGGGCATCTATCTTAATGATAATTTGAGTGCTGCGATTATTGACATGTATGCTAAATGCGGAAGTATCAGCACTGCCTTAGATCTGTTTTATCAGATCAGAGACAAGGCCTCTACAGTGTCACCATGGAATGCCATCATATGCGGATTGGCGATGCATGGACATGCAAATTCGTCTCTTGGAATATTCTCCAACTTGCAAAGACGCAGTATCATGCTCAATTCAATCACATTCCTCGGGGTCCTTGGCGCTTGTTGCCACGCTGGTTTAGTCGAGCTTGGAGAGAAATATTTCTGGAGCATGAAGAGTGTGTATGGCATAGAACCAAACATTAAGCATTATGGATGTCTGGTGGATCTCTTAGGCAGGGCGGGGCGATTAAGGGAAGCCGAGGAGAGAATAAGAACCATGCCAATGAAGGCAGATGTTGTGATATGGGGCACATTATTGGCAGCATGTAGAACACATGGGGAAGTCGAAATAGGCGAACGTGCTGCAGAAAGCTTAGCTAGATTGGAACCGTCTCACGGGGCAGGTAGAGTCCTCCTATCGAACTTATATGCCGATGCAGGGATGTGGGAGGATGCATCCTTGGTAAGGAGAGCAATGCAAGGCCAAAGGATGATAAGGTCACCTGGGTGCAGTGTTGTATAAAGAGTTGGTAAACAAGATTTCCAAACGAAACCGTCAACAAAATTCCATACTTGATTTATCGGAGGACGGGGGCAACATGATAACTTTTGTCAATTAATTCTTTAAGTTTATGAAGCATTTGTTTGTAACCCTGATTTCTTGGTATTTATCTTCAAAATGTAGTGTGGGGGCAATGGACCAATTTACATTTGTTAGTTTTGGTACAAAATGGAAAATACTTATTACAAAATTCTCTTTGATGAGGCTTTGCAACCAAATCACAACCCTATACTTCAAGAACTAACAGCTGACTGTTACAGGACTATTGCTTATACAAACTATCTAATCTAGAAACCGATCTAAAAGAATACAAAAAATGGCTAAATAAAATTACGCCTCACTTTTGATGATCAGTTCAGCAGCTGCACCTATGGTACCGGCCCCACCGAGTCCAAGCAATGCAAGAGCAAGCTCCTCCTCGTTCCATTGCCTGAGTCCATTACTCAATCGTTTCAACACTTCTACATCTACATCTAGAACCCAACTCGGCGTGCAACCGACCATTAGGCTCACGAACCCGGTCACATAGGCCCGCCATGTAGCCCAATCACAACCAAGTGATATCTTTCCATCAAGGGCACTTGCAAGAAACTCCATGTGGACACCAAGGATTTTGGGACGTCGCTTTGACGCAGACGATGAAGAGTCGGTACCCCAAGCAAAAGCCCCACATAGCACTGCAAAGTAAGCTAATGCATATCCCCCTAGCATGGAAGCCATCCCCTCTGAACCTTCCTCTTGCTCAGACCTGTGAACTGAAATGAACCAAGAAGGCAATGTTTCCTTGATCACAGATTGAACTAGTACTAAACCGCCCGATAGCCATACTAGCGAAGCTCCGAGGGAGGCTGCAAGCTTTACTTGAGTCATTGCTGAAGACAGTGAAACCTGTCCATATCTTTTTCCATTATTGGTTGTCCTCAATCTCTCTTTTCGAACACCATTGGAAGCTATTTCTCTTACAGAATCCATCATAAGAGAGAGAATCTCTTCAACCAATAGTGCGATATCTCTAATTGATCGATACACACGTAAAAAGAGAATACCTGGAGCAACAGGAGAAATCCCACCACAGAAATGAGATCCAAATCCATGGCCAAGGAGGGCCCCAACACCCCCATTAATTGAGATAGGATTGGCAGTCAGGCCAAGGGTGGCAGTGAAGCAGCTTTTGAGCAGCTGAACCACAGCATCACAGTTCTGGAGGAAAACCGTACGAGATGCTGAAAAGACCAGGAAATCGCTCCAACGTTTCGCTTTTTGAGTCCACAGGGAAGCAACAATTGGCATGCATGGCCATGGGCAACCAGCTGCGAGAGACTCTAAGGCAGGGCCGGCCAAATTGAGGAAACGTTCGGATGCTCTGTCGATTTTGTAAGTTATGGTAAGGCTTACAAAGGCAGCTAAGGGCAGAGGAAGTGTAGCTGGAGAGCTTCCCCCTACACAAAAAGCACAGATAAAGAAGTATCATAACCAGCTTCTGGTAAATTTATTGTCGTTGGCTTTTGGTCTACTTTCTAAGTAATTCAGAAATCCATAATCAAACTTGAAGATTGTCATTTAGAAGTTTGCAGTGATAACAATGATCATACCTGCAGCCAAGCTAGGGACATCAACGCCAGTAGCAGCTAGGATTCTCTTGATCTGTTCCTCAACATTAGAAAGATTCGCTGCAGGGCTTGGCCAGTCTGATCCATTCATAAAAACGGGTTTCCATAACCCCCGAGTTACTTCTGCAGAAAAGTAGCTCACTATGGTTGCTAACGATGCTGGCAGAAAATCGGCTAGATCTTTAAGTCCTGGAATGATAATTACATGAAAAGAAATTAATGATTTGAGAAAAATCGTCGTTCTATTCAAAATTGGATAAACAGATAAACTTTAATTTCAGACAAGTTTCAACAAAACGTTTCACGTAGCATCTTAGGCTTCTGGTGTGATTGCACAAAACCGTAATTTTACAGCTAAAAATCACCCTTTATAGGATAATAATAGAAATATAAACGATGGCATGAGCTTGTTCACGAAAAAGACATGCAAAAATTGCAAAACTTATCCAACCAGTGTTCATACTGACCTGTAGCCAACTCACGGGGAGAAAGCTTTCCATGAGCACAGGCTATTAGTGCAGCATCAAGCACAAAAGGAACAGCCTCCATTATATCCCAGGCAGGTAATTTAGGTCTTAAAGAAGAATCTTCATTTCCAGGCCCAGAAGAACTACTGCTTCCAGAAGTGACTGAAGTTAAAGGCTGATTTCCTCCATTAATTCTTCTGAACATCATGTTAAGAAGTCCATCAACAGTTTGATGAACAGGGTTGCCATGAACATGACCAGAGAGGGTCGACGCAATACATGCTTGATGCTGCCGATACCAAACTTTCAATTTGGGAAATGAGTCTACGAATATTGGCTGGGAGGATGAGGAACTTGCTACAGCTGAAAGTCTCATTTTATTGCGATCTTTGTGGACATTTCCAGATACTAGATGGGAATTTCTCACTAATAGTAGATATTCTGGAGTAAGTTGAGATCCAACTGTCGGTGCATCACCCACTCCATGGTCTAGAGGAGGATGGTTAAACCTCCAAAGCTTTAAGAGGAGAGTAAATGCATTTGAAAACACGGCATGAGCAGAGATTTCTTCCCCTGTTGTTAAGGTCCAATTGAGCTTTGGCACACATGATCCGAAAACCTCACAGATTGGCATCAGCGAACATGCAAGGTGTGGAACCTAGATAGATATCAATGAAATCATGATGAAATTGATAAGTGGATGCTGGGTTCTCATTTCGAAAAGAAAATTTAAAACGCAAAATACTGCATTTTAGAGAAAAATATTGATTATTTTATATTTTACATTTGTAACAGGGTTGAATAGTGCGTTCGTTATTCTATTTAGTTTCTTTAACTTGAATTTGACATCTCCAGGTCAAAACTTTTAACCAATCGAATAACCATTCAAATCAACTAAGATGAAAACTTCGATCAGATTTAGTATAATCCCCAATTTTAATCAGTCACTGGCCAGTGACTTGTGCCATTAGACTTATTTTATCTATCTCCCTGGTTTTGCAATTTTTAAGGCAGGGGGTGGGGAGAAGATTAGCATGTGAGGAGATCAGTATATTGCCTCAACTGCCCAGTCATTATTAAAAGTGGCTCAGTGAGTACTGGTTGGTATGAGGTAGCAGTCATCTGGATTATCCCACGGAGAAATCTTATGGATTTGAGATCGAGGAATG